TAGTCTTTGGATGTGGCTTTGGATGTGGCTGTAAAACCTGCTACTTCCTTAATCTCCCTTTCTCAGTTACAGGACAAAAGAGGGTCATCAATCCTTGGGTAGCAAACAAAAGAAATGGGTGTGGGGCAGAGGAGAAAAAAAAAGTTTGGAAAAGTGTAAATAAACTTTCTGCCCCCTGACAGTTAACGAGATGATTGCAGCAGTATCCAAGGGGCCAGATCTTTCAAGAGTGTCGCCAAGGACCCGTGACGTGCGCCACGATGCAGTCAAAGAAACAGGAGCACCTGTTCTTTCCTGGTTGCCGGTTCCTTTACCCCAATTCAGAACCTCCTCAGTCAAGGTGTTTATGGGGCACTCAGGTGTGGAATAGGAGCAGGACGCCCAAGAGCAGTGCTGTATTCTCACAACTAGGAGACACCCAGTTGACAGTGGGTTCAATGAAAGCATGTTCTAGAATCACATGCCAATGTGTTACGTGTCCTCATAACATGCCCTTACATATTTCTGTTGTTGTTGTTGTTAAGTACCGTGAAGTCGGTTCCGACTTACAGTGACCCTGCACAGGGTTCCTGAGGCTGTAAATCTTTCTGGGAGAAGCCTCATCTTTCTCCTGCGAAACATCTGGTAGTTTCAAACTGCCGACCTTGAGGTTAGCAACCCGATTTGTAACGGCTACGCTACAAGAGCTCATTTTACACATTTCTAGATTTTCTTAAAGAGTGTTGGTTGACATTACAATCAAAATAATCACCATAAGAAGAGAGACCCCAAGACACAGAGCTGTAGCATCCATTCTACCATCCTTCTGCCTCTGAAGTCCCAAGCTCTGACTGGAGACAACAACACAACAACTTGGATTCTCCTGACAGCTATGGGCTGGCTTAGCGATTTCGCTACTAACCACCAACTCTATGCGCCAATTGTGGACAGACTCTTCAACAGGACAGAGGGTAGTTTTTTGAGACTGTCATTGTTTTCTAGGGAAAAATACCACACTTATCTTAGCAAATGAGGTGCAACAAAACATCGAAATAATATTGATGTGTAGAAAACAATATTTTAATAACATAGGAACATGAACCACAATGTAAGCATGGTAACATTTTTGATATGATACTACAAGCGTGATTTTGAGCAGATGCAACTGGCAAAATTCTATGCAAAAGCATCAATAAGGCAGATCAGAGGGAATCATTCCTTCTCCCAAAGGGAGCAATTCTCAGCACACACACAAATGTACACAAATATGGAAACTGGAAACAAAGGGATATTAAAAAAAAAAAAAAAAAAAAAAGCAAAAAACATAGGGAGACACAAATAAAACCCTCCCACTAGTGTGTGAGAGACACAGGTTTTTATGGTCTTAATTACATAAAAACGTTTAAGTCTGAAAACAGACCAATGAGCTCACAGTTGACAAGATGGCAGATCTTCAAACTGCTGGAAGGCGTCCACAGTGTAGACCCGAACAACTAGGTCCGTCTGTTACCGTCTCTTGTTCAGCTACCTGAAAACCAAAGGTCTCAGTTACTACCACTTACTTCCTCTAGGGTTCACAGGTCTGCCAATGATGAAAATGCATTCCAATTCCCAAGTATCCAGGACTTGGAAAAGGAGCCACAATGGTGCGGTGATCAAAGTGCTTGATCAAAAGTTCAGTGGTCAGAATTCACCAGTCGCTCCAAGAGAGAAAGCTGGGGTGAGCTACACCTGCAAAGATTCTAAAACCAAACCAACCCATGGTTGTGGAGTTGGTTCCAACTCCCATAGGATTTCCCAGAAGATAATCTTGATGGAAGGAGCCCTGGGTGGTGGAAGAAAGGTGTGGTAGCTGATTTCTGTAAAGATTTACAGTGTTTTAGCTATTGTTGGTACCTCACGAGCTGTTCCTAGGAAACCCTATACAGGGTTGCTATGGGTCGGAACCGACTCGATGGCACTTCACAACAACAATAACAACAATGTAGATAGAGGTTGGAAAGGCTATTTTTCATAATTTATGTTTTGGTGGCACAAGTAGGATTAAGTATTCAATTGTTAGCCTAAAGACTGGTGGTTTGAACCCACCAACAGCCCTACAGGAGAAAGATGTGGTAGTGCGCTTCTGAAAGGATTGTTGTTGTTAAGTGCTGTTGAGTTGGTTCTCATAGTGACCCTGGGTAGGGTTTCCGAGGAGCGCCTGTTGTTGTTAGCTGCCGTCGCATCCGTTCTGATCCATAGCGACTCTCTATAGGGTTTCCTAGGAGCAGCTGGTGAACCTGTGAGCCAACCTTGCAGAGAATGACCTTTCCGGTATTCTCTGCTTTCAGCCAAAATCCATCTGACATCACTAATGACATCCCTACTACTTCCACGTCCTCTTCTGATCCAGCTTGGATTTCTGGCAGTTCCCGGTCAATGAACTGTTGCAACAACAAAAAGTTCCGGCACAGTAACCCACAGCGCCACACCAGGCCTCCTGTGAATTGCTGACCGTATAGTTAGCAGTCCAGTGCTTATCCTACAGCACTAAATAGAGTCCCTCTGCAAAGCCTGTTGTTCTAGGTGTTGTTGAGTCACTTCTGATTCATAGCAGCCTGACTCACAATAGAACAAAACACCATCCGGTCCTGCGCTGTCCTCACAATTATTGTTACGTTTGAGCCCACTGCTGTTGCCACTGTGCCAATCCAGCTCATCGGGGGACTTCCGATTTTCTCCATCTCTCCACTTTCCCAAGCATGATGCCCTTCTCCAGGGACTGGTCCCTCCTGATAACATGCCCAAAGTCTTTGCCTCTCATACTTTCAACATGCTATCAGGAGGGATCTAAGGAGCATTCTGGCTGTACTTCTTCCTAGACAAGTTTTGTTAGTTCTTCTGGAAGTCCATGGTACATTTAATATTCTTCTCCAACACTACAATTCAAATGCATTGACTTTTCTACTTTTCTACAATCTTTCTTATTCACTGCCCAATTTTCACATGTATGAGGTGACTTAAAATTACCATGGCTTAGACTGCAGACTGACATCTTTGCTTTTTAATACTTTAAGAGGTTTCATGCAACAGATGTGTCTAATGCGGTATACCATTTTATTTTTTGAAAGCTGCTTCCATGAGTGTTGATTGTGGATTAAAGCAAAAATGAAGTCTTTGACAGATTTCTGGCAGTCCCCGGTCGATGAACTGTCCCCGGTCGATGAACTGTTAACAATAATTTCTGAATGATCTTCAGCATTCATCTATGATGAGGTTATTTATTGGTCCAGTTGTGAGGATTTTTGTTGTCTTCACATTGAGATGCAATCTATACTGAAAGGTTTATTCTTTGATCTTCATCAGTAAATGTTTCAGGTCCTGTTTTTGCTTCAAGCAAGCAAGGTTGCTTATGGTCTTAATTACATAAAAACGTTTAAGTCTGAAAACAGACCAATGAGCTCACAGTTGACAAGATGGCAGATCTTCAAACTGCTGGAAGGCGTCCACAGTGTAGACCCGAACAACTAGGTCCGTCTGTTACCGTCTGCATATCGCAGGTTGTTGATGAGTCTTCCTTTCAATCCTGATGCCACGTTCTTCTTCAGAAAATCCAGCTTCTCAGATTCTATGATCAACATACAGATTCAGTAAGTATGGTGAAAGGATACAACCCTGGTGCACACCTTTCCTGATTTTAAACCGTTTAGTATCCCACTGTTCTGTTTGAATGATTGCCTCTTGGTCTATGTACTAGTTTCTCAATGAGCACAATTAAGTGATCTGTAATACTCATTCTTTGCAGTGTTATCCATAGTGTCATGATCCACACAGCCAAAAAGCCTTTGTGTAGTCAATGAAACACAAGTTTTACTGAAAAGTGTAAGAATTAAAATCCAGCTCTTTACAAGTTCAATGCCCTTTTTGGTATTCTCTGCTTTCAGCCAAAATCCATCTGATGTCACTAATGACATCCCTACTACTTCCACATCCTCTTCTGAGTCAGCTTGGATTTCTGGCAGTTCCTGGTCGATGAACTGTTGTAAAAATTTCGGAGTGATTTTCAGAAAAATTGTACTTGCATTTGTAAGGAGTACAGCCTTTGGAAACGGTCCGAGGCCATTGTGCTCTTTCTCAAAGGTTCACTAAGAGTCAGAACCAACTTGACAGCAACGGATGTGTGTTCTGGGTTTTATGCCCATGTGGGGTCGAATCATGTTGACATTAAGCACACAGAGTCTTTTGGAAAGTAAAAGAATTCACCAGCTCTTCACAAGTTCATTGCCCAGTAAGTGGCTGAGTCTCTGACCAGGAGGTAGCCCATGTGATGGAATGACAGTGTGGTTGCTCTTGGGCAGCAGGTGGACACATCAGTGTGGTGACATCACGGGGGCCCTTGGACTAGATAGACTGGACACATGCTTCCCTGAGGAGACACAGCCGGCGCCCAAGCTGCTACAAGCATTGCCACACAACTGAGTCATTTACCTCTTCTCATCTGAAGAACATCTGTAACAGTGCCAAACTGCCTGGGGGACGGGGCTTTGAAGAAGTGAGAGATAAATGAAGAATTGCATCATCTCGCTCTTTATATTTTTTTCGTTTTTGTTGGAAGGGGTCTTGTCAAGTTGCCACTGCTCTCAGCAGACAGTTTCCAGAAAGGAGAGAAGATGCCAACCTCAAATACCCTGGGAAACTTGGAGAATTCTGACCCTAAAATAAATGCACCAGCTGGAAAACCTCTGGTGACCTCCCCTTGATCCACTGGACTTGCCAGATGTGTCTCTTCACATTCTTCTGGTTATACTGGGTCGCTATGACTTGGACTCTTGGTGTGGCACTGTAGGATCAGCACTGGACTGCATACCACAAGGTTGGCAGTTCAAACCCATCAGCTGCTCCCCGGAAACCCTATATAGGGTCGCTATCAGTCGGAACGGACTTGATGGCACTTAACAGCAACATAAATAAATGATATACATATCTTATGGGAGGGACATCCCAGAATCCCTTTCCTGATCCATATGGTCATTGGGGGCCTGCTACGCCCCAAGCACTTTGGAGGAAGGTGTCCAGGCAGTGACAGTGAGCAGGGAAAACATCATCACCTCCTCCAGGGAGCCTAGCCTGGGAATGTAAGTGTGATCGTCTCACCTCGCCTCTGACAGTGTGGACCCAGCAGTGTGGGATTACAGGAGGTGAGCACCTTAGCCAAGGCAGGCTACTTACTGCAATCAGTCTGCTTTTGACTTAATATCAACACCGCTGTTAGTACGTGCAAAGGAGCTGTTAGTACGTGCAAAGGAGCTCTGCTAGCATAGTGGTTACGAATCGGGCTACTAACCTCAGGGTCAGCAGTTTGAAACTACCAGCTGTTCTGCAGAAGAAAGATGAGGCTTTCTGCTCCTATAAAGATTTACAGCCTCGGAAACCCTATGCAGGGTTGCTGTGAGTCGGAACCGACTCCACGGCACATCACAACAACATTAGTACGTGCAAGCATTTCCATAAAGACAAACTCCGACACAAATGGGTCACAAGGTTGTTCTGACCCTGAGCTGTACCTTCTGTTTTGGTATGTGGTCAGTTCTTCTTGAAGGACAGATGCTCTCTTCTGTAGAAAGTTCACCTAGAAAATACACTGTGTATGAGAAGAGGAAGAGGCAGAGGTGGTGGCTTCATTGGCTAGATTGTGCAAATCATACGGTGAGATTTGATTTAAATTCAGACAAGCCTCTAGATCAGACTCAACGTTGGGCTTTTAGCATTTTATCATGTCCTTATCAAACCATCTCCGATGAGTACAAAAGAATGTGTTCTCCTTGTTACAGGGTTGTTTGGACATGACCCCAGCCTATTTTCGCAGCCCTATCTCGTCGCCCTCTTGTCACACCATGGTAACCTGTAGCCCATGTCTCTCATACCTTGGTGGAATGCTTGGCTAGCTAATTCCCATCGTTCCTGCATGCCTCTGTCCAAATGCAACCTCTTCCACAGAATTCTGTGAGTCCTCCCCAACTGCTCAGCCTCCTACCCTGCCAGAGCCAGCGGCTCTTTGTCTTCTTGGAACTCTATTATCAGCACCCCTGCACTGCCTTGCGGTGATTTGTCTGCATCTGCCTCCCCCAAACCCGAGAGCCCTCCTGGGTCTGGGATGGTGCTTCTTTATCTCAGAATCTTCAGTTCCCTTTACAGGGCTGGGCATGTAGCTGATCGGCATTACACTGTTTAATGAAAGAATGAGCAAGTGAAAAGAAGATGACTGCTTTCCGGAAACCTCAGTCCACCCTGGGGAATCCCTGAGGTTGGAGAGACAGTTTTGTAGTGGAGAAAGCCTGAGCCTAGTCTGGAGTCAGACACATGTGGGCTCAGTTCTGGCTCGGCCTTTCGGGTTCTCAGAAAGTCACCGAAGGCCTTGATGGCTCATCTGTGAAATGGGGTGAGCGAACTGCCTCCCAAGGTTGTGAGGCTAATGGGAAACGAGGGCTGCAGAAGGCCTTCTGCTGAGCTAAGAGCAGGTGCTTCCACGCTTGAGGAGCAGGGGCGCAGGGAGGATAACAAACTGAGTTTCTTAACATAGGCTCTTCATTGGGACCTTTACAACATGGTTTGATTCTTTCCAAGTGTAAATGCCTATAACAGTCAAGTTACCAGGCAGAAATTCCCCTCATCCACACCACCCCATTGAAAAGCACCTGACACGACTCCACGGAGATCTCAGACTCTATCCCTTAATGTAATCTAGAGTCAGTGGTATCTGATCCTTGCAGAATTGTTTACTTTTGCCTCTTTGGGCAGAACTGAAACCATGGCAACGGCTGATCCTGAAACATAGTTATGCAAGAGAGTACAGCTGGTAAAATGGAAGATGGCCTTGAAAGCGGTGGAAAAACACACTCTTCCCAACTGGGCACCCATCGAAGTGCTCCCCACTTGGTTGTGTCTAACGGTAATGTTGCCCTAGTCTGCATCTTACCCGGCTGTTTAGATGACCCACAGCGGGCAATTCAACATTTTTGACAGATGCCAGGATTACACTGATTCAAGAAGCCCATTTTTGACAGATGCCAGGAATACACTGATTCAAGAAGCCCCCCCCCGCCCAACACACACACACACACTCAATCCTCACCCCAGGCTTCTGAGTAGGAATTCCAACAATTTCCAAGAAACACAGACACCTGTGCTTTCAAGCTAAATTTGCTCCCTGTATGGCCCAAGATTGTGCCACACAGCTGCTGATTCTGAGACCCGCACGCAGCTGGTATTCCTGTCTTTCTGGGTCAACATCCAGTTTTAGGAGGCTGAAGTGGCTTTTATTACAGTGGAATGATACAAATGATAACAGAAGCCCTGCAGGTGGATATTGTATTTCTTTCTGTTCCTTTTTTTTTTTTCTCTTAAAGAAAAGAAAGAAAAAGGCAAGCCCTCAGAAGGTACCAGATGTATAAAGCGGGTAAAACGACAGCTAAAGGAGAGCTCTTGATGGAAATAATGGTGCCTTCACCCTTTCTTTAGGAGCTCCAGTAGCGTAGTGGTTACGAATTGGGCTGCTAACCTCAGGGTTGGCAGTTGCACGGGAGAAAGAGGAGGCGTTCTGCTCCCATAAAGATTTACAGCCTCGGAAACCCTGTACAGGGTTACTATGAGCTGGAACCGACTCCATGGTACTTAACAACAACAACAACAAGCCTTTCTTTGCTGACACGTTCCTCCAGGATTTATTTCTATAAGCATGGTGGAGCAAAACTTCCTGAGAACAATAACAATGGAACATGAGGTTGGATATAATAACATTCCCTTTTCAGGTAGCAAACGTTCTACTGAGGGGCATGTAAAAGGAACAGCTAAAATTTGCTCTGTATTTTGTCTTGCATGATTATTGTTTTTGGTGTTGTTGTTAACTATTGTTGAGTTGGTTCTGACTTATAATGACCCTGTATAGGGTTTCTAAGGAGTGGCGGTGGGCTTGAACCACTGACCTTGAGGTCAGTAGTCTAGTGTTTATCCTACCGCATCACACCAGGACACACTTAATATAAAGGCCATCAAAGATACCAACTGTAAATGAATGTACACATGAGCATCTTTGATGTGCCAGCCACTTTTCTTGGCATGGAAAGTAAAGAAATCCTTTTACTTTCTTTGGGGAAAAAAGAATTCTTTTTTTTTCCTATGCCAGAAAAACGTATTATTTACATTTCTAAGTATGTTAGAAATGGGAATTAGTGAATTCTTTCTTATGCTGAAGTTACAAAAAGATTAGATCAGCAATACATAAAATATTCAAACACAGATATATGTATATATAAAATGTATGTTAGAATTTAAACATTGTAAAGTGCTATCGAGTTGGGTCCAACTCATAGAGACCCTATGGAGTGGCCAGTGGGTTTGAACTTCCGACCTTGGGATTAGCAGTCCAGTGCTTATCCTACAGTGCCACACCAGATTCAACCAGTGATGTGTACAATATTCAAACAAGACAGATGTATATATAGAAAATGCATGTTGGAATTTAAAAACATCCAAATTCAAAGGCATTTAATTTCTCACATATTTTATGAACTACGTATTTTTACACAAAAGAATGTGCATGTTATAGAGTTTGCAAACTGTGCACAACCCATAGAGTGTTAGTTTGTTACATGCATGTGCATGTTATTTCCATGGGTGTGTTATATGTGAAGAAAATACTGTATACCAAGAACTACAGAGTTCAAGAAATATTTAGTCTAATTGTTTGAATATCTTGGTGTTATTCTTCCTTCAACTCAAAGTATGTCTTGCTATATCACACAACCAGACAAGACACACTATGGTCAAAACACTTCTAACTTAACTGTGTGTTCATTTTCTCAGTGCTTTAATAGAGCGAGGCCTCAGCAGTGTACTGACTGAGGGGATGGTATTTCGGGCCTGGTACCTGGAAGAAATGGGTGAGGCTGTATTGGAATGTGGTCTGTAAATGGAATAAAAGTTGCAGTCACTGACCTTTGCAATTCCAAGGGTGCTTTTAGGGAACTCTGATGGCACCATAGATTAAGCTAACTGCAAAGTCGGTGGTTCAAACCCACCAACTACTCTGCAGGGGAAAGGTGAAGTTTTCTGCTTCTGTAAAGACTACACTCTCTGAAAACCCCAAGGAGTAGTTCGGCTCTGTCTATTGGGTCGCTATAGTGACAGAGCTGACTGATGGCAGGAGACTTGGGGATTTTTTGTTTGTTGGTTTGATCGGTTTTAAGGAAATACTATGGAAACGGCAAACTCTTAAACTAGTAAGAAAGGAATTCTAAGAGAAGAAACAATGTGTTCAAACTGGTGGGCTATGACATCACACGGGTTGTTGGGATCAACTCAGACTCAAAGTTATTTGCAAGTTTCCTTCCAGGATCTGGACATCATTTGAATATGTGGAAGAGGCTTTGATTCTAGTTATTACCTGAGATTTTAGAGAGGAAATGGTGTCTTCGAGCTCTTGTCTTAGAGATGCTGGCATTAACCCTTTGAATTTTGTTTCATATTCTTGTCTTATGTAAGTTATCTAAAATGGAAAAAAAACAGAGAGAAATGAAGCGTATCTTTTATACCATGGGAATGACTGCTTGAGTTACGAGGTTCCAGAACACCTACTCATCACAAAGATGAGCTTGCGACACATCATCAGAAACCTGCCAACGAAGATGAAATAAAACAGTTACAGACTGAAAAAGCCACCTGGCCTGGACTTGTGACACTGGAGGGGACATTCCTGTGACAAGACTTTATTCCCTTTGGATCCTGTTAACAAGGACTTCTGAGCAAGACGGCGGAGTAGGCAGACACACTGAGCAGATGCCTCTGCAACAAAGACATGGGAGACCAAGTGAAACAGATATGGATGGTGGTCGTGGAGCCCATGGAGAAGGGGGCTAGTGCTGACTGGAAGAGGAAGCTGAGCAGGAGCAGTGGGAGAGAAGACAGACAGGCGGGCTGTCAGCTGGTGTGGAGCAGTGTGGCCATCTTGAGCTTTGGTGAGCAGCTGTGAACATACTGCGCTAGAGACTGGCAGCAAGGGGGTGTGGGTTTGCCCTGGTTCCATGCCCTCCTGTGCAGCCTTGGCTCTGCCTGGGGTCGGGCGCCAGGAATGTCGCCCCTGCTCCTGGAGGCGTGCAGACCCACCCTGAACTATGCTACACAAACAGAGCATAGTTATCATAGAACACTGGGCGTGTGAACACATCCAGCCACCATCACATCCACCAGGAGACAGGTGGTGCAGTGACTGAGAATGTACACAATCATCAATGCAGCATAAATACACCACCACCATATGTCTCAGAGAAAACAGTGTCAGCTTCCATGAAGAAACAAGACAGAGAGGCTCAAACAAATGACAAATACAGAGTTAGAAAATACAATAGTAGAAATGGTATCAGAAATACTTGATATTGAGGTATCTTCAACAGATTGAGAGAAAGGTGGAGGAAAGCAAGGAAAACACGGAAAAAAATTTAGAGAATTTAGGAAAACACTACAAGAAAAAACTGACAAAAGAAAAACTGGAAACCATACAGAAACAGCATCAATATTACAAATTCCAAAACAGACAGTATATTGAAAGGGCAAACAAGTAGAATTGAGTCAATGGAAGGTTGAATCACTGAGTTTGAAGACAAATCTCTCAATTTTCATCTTCTCAAGGAACAATCATTAAAAACAACAACAAAAAAAAACTCAGAAGAAAGTCTAAGATTTATGTGTGGCACTAGTCATGAAGCATAAGTTTGTGACTGAAATTCCAGAACAGGAAGAGACAAAAAGTAAAACAGAATATTGCCCAAGAATTTTTGGAAGAGAACTTCCCTAACATTATGAAAGACAAGATAGCCATTTAAGAAACTAAACTCCAAACAGAATAGACAGACCCCAACAGAAAATCACCAAGACATTTTATAATCAAACTTTTCAAAACCAAAGACAAGTAAAATATCCTGAGACTAGCTCAAGAAAGACAAAAAATTAACTACAAAACAGAACTTATAAGATTAAGCTCTGATTTCTCAGCAGAAATCATGTAGGCAAGAAGACAACGGGATGACATAAACTTCTGAAATAAAAAAATCAACTACCTAGCAAAAATCAAAATCATATACCCAGCAAAAATCAAAATCTACCATATAAGATGGCAAAATTATGACATTTCCAAATAAACAGAAACAAAAAGAATTTGCAAAAAACAGACCAACTTTACAAAAAATGACTAAAGAGAGCACTTTGGACAGATAACCAACAACGGCAGAAAACCTGAGACTAACAGAAAACCTGAGACTTACCTAAAACTCAAGCCCGATACAGAAGTATTCAAAGTAAAAGCATACAAAACTGAAAATCAGAAACTAGAGACAGCAGTTTGCAACAAAACCCCATAAAGTAAAAAGAGGTAATAATGTAGTTACAGAACTTCCAAATGAAGAGGAAATCAAATAGATTTCAATAAATACAACAAACCTAACTATAACCCTAAAACTGGACCAAGCCTTATTCCTAGTCCTAGCCAAGTCCCTACCCCTAACACTAACTCTAGTCTTAACCATAAACCTAACACTAAATCAAGTCCTAGGCCTAGACATAAACCTATACAACTCCCCCCTCCCCAAATCCTGTTAACACAATTTCTAATATCTGATAAGTGAGTAAAATACATATTCTCTCCGCTCCTCTTAAGATCATCACTCTGTGAACCCTCTTTGATCAGGAAGTAGACCAGGACCATACAACACTGTGGTTTGAGGACAATTCATAGCTCTAATTTGATTAGATACTCTCCCAAACTGGGCTAGGTACCCTGGGGATTCGATATCATCCACATGATTATGAAGATGAGAATGAAGGAGAATTGCACAGCTGTGTCTCCAAGCCTCTTCAACCCCAACACAAGTAGATGTCTCTTCTCTTGGCTCAGTGAGCTGCCCTGGCTCCTGGATTCACCTGTACCTCCAGAATACAATCAGGTCTGACTGTCACTGGGCTTACTAAAGGCAAGGCGGATGGCTCATGTCATTCATCTAACAGCTAAATATAGAAGGAAGTGAGGGAGGTAGAAGAAAACATGGCTGAGTAGAAGACAGTTGGGCATGAGTATGGGCCTGAGTGTGAGTGTGCTTACTGTTTTCCTCCAGATATCTTTCTGCAGTCTTCCTCCTCCTCATCTGAGATGTGATGGCATGAATCACTTTCAAAATCAGTTCCATGTGTTGTAGATGACTTAACTGAATCTTAAAGCTGAATTACAGGGTATCTCAAAAATGATGTAATGATTTGCTGATCAACTGGAAACGGTAATATACTATGCAAATATGTGCAACCAAGTGTGTTATACAAGCCCTTGGATTTATAGAATAAAATTTAAAAAAATTACTAGCCTTTAAGCCCCAACTTTTTATTTTAATAATTAACTGAATTAAGAAAGAAATGTGTTTTAATATTCTAATAATACCAGGGTGCTTCAAAAACTTCATGGCGAAATTCCATGATCTTTTTTTCCCCCCCATTATCCTTTAATTCCATTTCCCCCCACAAACTTTTTGAAAGGCCCTTGTATAATTCATTTCATTATCTGCTAATACCATGGCAAATGTTCTAGAATATAATTTTTAAACTCTGCAAAGGGCTTTTTAAAACTATGCTAAGATGAGCCTGGTACGTCACTGCCGGATAAATACCGGACAGCTAACCACAAGGTTGGTGGTTCAAATCCATCAGCCACTCCTCAGATACCTATACAGGGTCGCTGTGAGTTAGAACCAACTTGACAGCACATAACAACAACAAGAGGCACGTTGGTGGTGTAGCATTTAAGTACTTGACTGTTAACCAAACGGTGGTTCGAACCCATTAGCTGCGCCAAGAGAGAAAGACGTGGCAGTCTGCTTCTGTGCAGATCACAGCCTGTGGCCAGTCCTTGTCTGTCCTACCGGGTCACTGTGAGTCATATGAGCCCACCCATGACAGTGAGGTTTTTTTTTTTGTTTTTTGTTTTTTGTTTTTTTTTTGGTATAGTCTTTTGATTCACACCTAAAAGGAAAAAGGAAATACTGAAAAACGATCTCTCCAACTGATGCAAAGTGAGAGGCTGTTTTGGCGTAGGCACTTCTAGAAAGGAATTTCCAGAACTCTCCAGGCTCATTTCTATCCCACCTTTCTATGCACTGTGCATCATTCTATGCTCTGCTAGATGCCTCCAGCACCTCAACCCTACCATCATAGAGTTGATTCCAACTCCTGGAAGCCCTGGACAGAGTTTCTGAGGCTGTACATCTTCACAGAAGCGGAAAGCCACATCTTTCTCCCACAGAGTGGCTGGTAGGTCTGAACTGCTAAGCTTATGGTTAGCAGCCCAGTGCTTACCCTACTGTACCACCAGGGCAGCTCTACATACGCATACACATAGTGACTGCCTTTCTAGATTTCTCAACCACAGCACAACAAACAGACACGAGCCGGGCTCTGTCCACCACATTCACTAGTCTCCCCACTTTGCTTCATCTCCAGCAAAGAAAATTAGGAAGCTCTAGGACATCCATCATGGGACTCCTGGTGTGGCGCTGTAGGATAAGGATTGAACCGTGAAGTCAGTTTGAACTACAAGGTTGGTGGTTCTAATCCACCAGTAGCTCCTCAGAAACCCTATACAGGGTTGCTATGAGTTAGAATTGACTGGAAGGCATTTAACAACAACAAAGGACATCATGACAAACAATAACACTTTTTTTTTTTTTTTTCTTAATGTCCTAAGACTGAGTGGGAAGGGTACTCGTGTGACCAAAATCAAGGTGCTAGCAAAGTTGGTGTGGGTGCGGGTGGGGTGGACTAGAGAGGCAGCTGCGTTCGGCCGTGTGGTCACAGAATACCTGCCGTTCTCATGAAGGCCTTGGCGCTAGCAGTCTTTCCTCTGATTTTTAAGACAGATTATGAGATAATACATGAAACAAAACTCAAATTGTTAAAGTAACAAAAGACCGGGCTTATGGGTCAGAAAGAATAGAGGAACCTGAGGCTGTGGCCCTCAACTATCCTTCAGGTCTGGAAAGGAACTCACTCTCTTTCGTCAAGTAGCAGGTAGGTATATAGGGGGGTAACAACACTAGTAAGGTGTGCTCACCATGAATGATGGAACCATCACTCACTCAAGATCAAAGGGGAGCATGTACCTAAGGACAATGGCGGAAGGTTCGGGAAGGGGGCTGGAAGGGCAACAGTCACCGGGAGGAATCGGGCTGACTGTTCTTCCACAGAGGGGACTGCAATCACTGAGGTGACACCCCGTGTATTATTTGTGGAATATAAAACTGATGATCTTGTCTGCAAACCTTCACTCAATTCACAATTAAAAATAAAAATGTCTGTTTAAAAAAAAACGAAAAGAGAAACAGATTATGAGAACATCTGTAACTGGAGTTTGATGCTATACTCAAATAAAACTTATATCATGGGTAATCAGACAGATATTCATATGAATAAATATGACTCTACAAGGTACACCAAATGGATCACTGGCTTGAG